ACCTTTTTAAAGCAAGATGCAATGCTGCCAGCTAGATTGAGTATATTCTTGACCAGGCAGTGAGGAATTGAGTCAAATCAGTATTAACATTCCTGGCCCAGAGCTCCTAACTAGAGCAACAATGAAATGATCCTTCACAATCACGGTGTCACTTTCATAAGTGATTGACCCTTCAACAAATTCTCAATAGAAACAAGATATATTTTACATTTACACCAACAGAACTTTTCACACTTGTTCAGACATAGAAGCAAAATACCAATCCTCTCTTTAGGTAGTCAGGTGTTCCATTTTCCTTGGATTAAGAAGAGAAAGGCAGAATGGCTAATATGTTAACCATCTGACACTGAATGACTAAAATCAATATCCTTTAACCCCATTAAAACCTTTGTTTTACTTTAGAGAATTCAAGGTTTTTTTTTTGCTTAATAGTAGTTAGTTGGTTACACAAGTCAGATGAACAGTGAACTACTAAAAATTTGAAACACTGACCATTAATTATGCTACTCATAGTTCTTTAGAAAGGACCAAGTGTAAAGAAGCAAAAGGGGTCATGGAATCGAGGGATGAATAAAAATCAGAGTTTGCAAATTTGCAGATCTTGGAAGTAATATAATCTGACTTAGGAACGATTTGAACTCTGACTAATAAGGGGCATTTTTGAGCTAAGATTTATGAATTTAGAAAGTTCTGTATCCTGGATACGAGGCAAAAGGTGAAGCCATGAAGGCATACAGTAAATGAAACAGCTTGCAAAAAATTTGACCAAAAGTTACATTCAAATATAGAGTATTTTATACGAACATAATAAAAATAAGCTTTATGAACCAATAATGTTTCACAGGGATGCATCATAAATTCATAATGCCATGTCGTAGTAAACACAAAAAAATAATAGTGTCCCAGATTTTCCATTTTCATTAATAAAATTATCTCTATAATTTTATTTTTAATTCTAATTTGGCACATTTTTGCTAACCGTACAATTTTGACAAACTATACCCTTAGTTGTCAATTAGTAAAAACTTTCTATAAAAAAAAAAAAAAATCCTTTTCTGGAAAGTAACAAATCCAATAGCAATTTACACACCAAGCGAATATTGTTATAGTAGGAAATGTAGGATATAACCAAGCAAAGACAACTTGGTAGCCACTTTGTTCATAGCCTTGTGGTAAAGAAGGCTATATAGGTAAAGGGAGTGATATGTAGCAACAGTGGTCAATATGATGGCATCTCCCTTGTGAATTTGTGATACTAGGCAACTTAGATGCATTATCAGTAACACATACGCGCAACATTCCAATATTCCATGTAAAATTATGTAAACATAAAATTCTATTCTTTTAGTTTATGATCTTGTACCATATGAGATACTACCTCCGTTACATATTATTTGCAACGATTTGACATAAAGTAGAGAAGAAAAATGTCTAATCGTTGCAAAATAATATGTAACGGAGGTAGTATATGAACTTTGATTCAAATACTAAGATTAGTAAGATATGAGCAAGTATAACAACTTAGCAGTTAGCACCCATCTCTAGCATGTAAATAGATAAGTTACAATATTCTGAAAAAGAAACACAGAATGACATATTAAAACAAATAAAAATGGTTTGCATCAAGAACAAAACAGTTTTTATATGGGTTGAATAACTAACCTGAATTTGTAAACCAGGAACCATTTAATAAGCAGTTTTACATTTCACCATGACAGATATCTCATTTCCCTTTCATCAACTTCGATACGTAATTACCTGCCATTGATATGCATCTGCAAATAACAAATGCATTATAATGTCAAATCTACTTGACAATCTTCTTCAGGATAGACAAATTTCTACTGGATGCTCCAATACAAGAGAGACCATAATGATCATGAAACATAATAGGCAGTTATTTTTTCTGACACAATCCATCATGAAACAATGGTCAAAAAACATATTCAAACCAATTTTTCCCAAATATTTCAAAAATTAGGTGTTATGGTACATTTATCATAATAATATTCTTCTGATTTTCTCATCTTGTCAGATGATCCAAAATTATTATTGTGACTCTGCTGTTTTTGTCAATCAGTGTACATTACATTTTAGAAGACAAAAGAGAGGATTGACGGTAGTCATGATCTTCAAAGAGTGAACACGCCACTGTAAAAGGGAAGTGGGCATTTTTTCATACGAATATATTATATGTAATCCAGAGTGGGGTATAAATAGCATGATCTCTCTTCACAATTTAGCAGATACAAAGTAATTACTCAACTAGACTTCCTTTGTGGGCTGCAAGGTCAGCTCAGCTGTGTCTACAGGTGAAGCCCAAGAAGGGTGGAATAGTCCAAAAATAAACTTGGCAGATAAGGAAGAAGCTATAGGAGATAAGCAATATCCTCTGCAATTACTACCAGAAAGAATTTGTAATAGACTAACATTCACAAGGGTAGTTTGGGAATTTTAGTACTTTTAGGTTAGTAGCCCTTATTTCTAACTAAGCCTTAGTATAAATAAGGGATAGTGTATGCATTACCTATCATGTGAATTGTGAGGAAAAATGTTGAGAGTAGTAACCTCAAGTTACTAGGAGAGTGATAACCTAAAGTTATCAAGAGAGTGATGGCCTTAAGCTATTAATCTATCTTTTTGTATCCAAATTCTGCCATTATTAATCTAAATTATCAAGCTTTTATATCTTAATTAGTCCTTAAATTAGAAAATCCTAAGTTAGTCCATAACAGAATTGACCACTTGTGGGATGGGGGCTTCCTTTTCTGTAACTGAGTTAGTTCAAAATAACTACAAAGATTTCAAATTACAATTCAACAGCAATTGCAACAAATCAAACATTGTAACAAGTAGTTGCAGAGAATCAAGCATCTGCAGGACAGGCATGGATATTTTGGACAAGATGGCTCTAAGTTAAAACATACGAAGTATATCCATAACATTTACATCCAATTAATAACTTTAAGGCCCTAATAATCTTGGAATATCATCAAAACCATGCAATATAGCAAACACACTAAAGGATCTCAAACAGAAAAAAATAAAAAGTAAAAAATAAAAAATTCAGAAACAAGCTGAATAACAAACCTTTTTCATGTTATTCTTTGACATCTTTGGTTTCCTTTGAATACACAGCATGCTCTAACCAATTTAAGGAACCATAAACAGGATAAAATAATGCTACAGAGTATATACAGAATAGTTCATCTGCAAGCTTGCCTGTATAATTGTAGAAGTATTCCTCATCAATAAGTCTGTCAACAGAAACGCGCATGACATTTCAGAACAGAAAGTGGACTTCGCAACAGAGAGAAGCATCTGAAAGGAAGTTGCCATCATGCACCTTAGTATATTTCAAATAGCATCCCTTAACTATATATATCAGACGATACGCTGAATAGTGAAAAAAAAAACTCACTGGTGAGAATGATAGATAGTTAGAGACAGGGAGCTGCTTCTCCCATAATCATATTACTGCAACATATATTTTAACATTTACATGCTGATGCTCAAGCTATAAAGTATCTCCTTCAGTGAATCGGAAAATACATTGCCAGAAAATTAAAAAGATCCATAAATATCTCCTTCAGTGGATTTGGGTAAAGTGACTTGGATTTGGGTGTCGTGTCCGACACAGCGTCAGATCCTCCGACACTCTAGGTTTTACAAAAATTTCATATACAGGACACCATATATTTGGGTGTCGTGCCATGTCAAAGTCCCGGAAGATTCGACACGCAACACCTGAAGTACAATAGGGTATCGAAGTGACATAGCCTGGGGCTAAGACGCTAACCTTCTAGGAAATTATTTACTAAGGCTTAAATCACATCCTTCAGCTTAAAACAAGAAGAATAATCACTTGCTTGTCTATTGAACGCATCTTCAGACACTAACCATTACAATGTCATGGGATCTCTTATTCAGCTCAGAATTACAATCTCTGCGATAAGTATAGGAACAGTAGGCATGACAGCAAGTTATATTGAGGTTAGTCAACAGCAATTCCCTGATAACAACCACCATGGTTAGTACTTTTTTTGGGGGGTGGGAGTAACTAACCAGCAGCTGGTTGAACTAAATATTACTTACGATTTTGGTTGTTTAAAGCATCCAAGAAAAGGAACCTCCATAGAGCATGTTTACAAGCACTCTGATATCTTCTTTCACAGGCTGAACAAGTGCTTCACATAAGACATAACCTTACATTTCACTCAACTCATATCTCAAGGCATGCCAAAGCACATTAAATGGCCCAATTTAATGCCTGTGTTCCCATATATCTTCTGCAACACCCATTCCATCTTCCTGAGTCCAATTAACACATAGACCATAGACTAACAGACAATGCCACAATGGTAGTTTGGTCCACATAGTACATAGCACAAATGCTGTTTATGTACTTACACAGGAATACGAGGAACTTCCACGTCGCAGAGATCAAACAAGTTTCTTCATATGACACTCAGCCCATATTTTTCAGTTAGCTTCAGAAACTTTAGATCCAGGACATTTGTTAATATTCTATGGCAACTACTTGTATTGAATATAAAACATTGAGGGCTTGAGGTGGTAATGTATACCTCTTCCTAGAAGGTAACTAGGTGAGCAAGATATCTTCTCTTATGCAATATGAAGAACTATCAATGTCGACATGGTGTTATACTCACATAGCCCCATAATCGTTGTATCTTCCTGTTTCTAGCATTGATACCATTACATTCAACAAAAGACAAAGGCAATATCAACTGAGCAAAAGAGCAAAAAAAAAAAAAAAAAAAAAAAAAAAAAAAAAAAAAAAAAAAAAAAAAAAAAAAAAGAGCATGACTCCTCATAGAATCCACAAGCAAGCCAAATAAACATAAATACATATTTATAGTGTATATAATTCGTAAACGATCTGAAAAACTCTTGAAGGGGAAGCAATCATTTCAACCATCCTGCAACAATAACAAGGACCTCCACAATACATCAAAAAACCCAAAAAGACACTTAAATCATAGCCAAAAGTAATTTGGTTCTATTTCATTAAAACTCATGATACAATTCACCAATTCCAAATTCCAACCTCTACAATTCTCCACTACTAAGAACAACATAAAAATTCCCAAATAAAAATAAACCTTTATAAGAAAAACACAATTAAAAACTTACAACAAAATAGACAATAAAATCATCTCAACCCTGCTACTGCTGCTGCTCATCCTCAAGCTTCTTAATATAAGCTTTCAAAACCAGCACCAAATCCCTAGCAGGAGCCTGAATTGTACCCACAAGAGCATTCCCAGGACTCTTCAAAGACCCAAGCAATTTCGCGAAAACCTCAGCTTTAGAAGGCATAGTTTCCAATCTCTTAACTTCATCAGGCCCATAAAACTTACCCTCAAAACAAGCACCAGTAAAATCATTGTCCTCAAGCTTTCTCTCCTTCTGGAAAGTTCTATAAGGCTTAATTGCAACTGGGATTTCTTCAGAATGAACAAAAAGCCAAGCATTCATACCTTTCATACAAGGTTTAATGGCTTCCCATTGGGTATCCTGAACTGCTTTCTCAACAAGGGTGTTCTTAGCAACAAGTAAAGTAGTGTTTTCTGGGAGTGATTTCCTGAGGTCTTGGAACTGTTTAACTGTGAAACCTTTGTAATTGATTGCTGCTAATAAGTAGCAGTTTTCGAGATGTTTTTGCACTGTTTCGACTGTTTCTTCCTTCTTTGTGCGACTGATTGCGGCTTTGATGGTGGTTGTGGGGTGTTTGTGCGTGGAGAGATTGTGGGGTTTGAAGGAAAAGAAGGGATTTGGGGAAAGAGAGGAGAGAGAATGAGTGGGTTTGATTGTGGAGGGAAGGGGTTTGGAGAGGAAAAGGGTGGACTCCATTGTTGTTGCAGAAGATGAAGAGATGAGGTTGAAAGGGTGAAAATGGAGGGAGATGAGGCTTATCTGTATCTTCTCTATTTTTTTTTCTTTTTTTTAATGTGGAATTGGTGATCCGGCGTTTAGTGTAATAAACCTGACAAAACTAACTCATACGAAGTGCTCGGTTATACGGAGTATGATTTTAAGTAGGGGTGAGCATGGGACGGGTACCCGTACTGTTAGTACTAACGGTTCGGGTACCCGATAACCAAAATCACTAAAAGTGATACCCATAACCGGAACCGATAAGTTCGGGTATCCGGATTTTCGGATCGGTTATCGGGCACCTAATAAGATATCCAATAATGATAATTAAACTTAATTATGTAGTTATTATGATATAATTTACAACTAATTATAAACAATACCATATGATCTTGACCAAATTATTAATAATATTTGTTTAGGGTAATTTTACCCTGCCACGTGGCCCAATCAGAAGGTGACGCGTGTCAGTCCCAGATTGGTCTAAAATGGACCAATCCCTGCTCGACACGTGTCATTCCCGAAATCATGGGAAAAGGCGGCCTTCAGGCCCAAATCCCGAGAATGCCGCCTAGCGGCGCAGCCCACCAATGATTAGGGCTCAGTAACCTAATCAGGGGCACAATTCCCAAAGACCCTATAAATAGGGAGATGTCCCTCATTTTGAGGACACGTTTTACCATTTATTACACATTTTACTCTTTGATAGAGACATCCTGAGCTTGGAATCCAAGCAGATCCCCACCTAAATTTCCGCACCTTTTTCTCCTTTCAAGTTTCTAACTTGTGCGTCGGAGGCGGAGCACCACCCAACTGGTGTCTCCGTTTGTTTTGCAGGTACAGCTCACCCCGGATCAGTCTTCGTGTTGTAACTCTCCCGAGGGACAAAAACACCCAAAACAATATTGCTAATCATTGATATTATAAAGTGATTATGAAGTAAAGTAAAAGTTAAGATTTATACTAATAGATTTAAGTAGGGAAAAAAAAAGCAAAAAAAAATGCTTATCGGATCGGATCGGGTAACCGTTAATTTTAAAATGATACCCATAACCATATCCGATAACAAATTATAGGAACGGGTACCCGAACCGTTATGGTTATCGGATCGGGTACCCTATTTTTCGGAACGGTTACGGATCGGTTTTTCGGGTTGTTTTGCTCAGCCCTGATTTTAAGCCTAAACTCTACTCAAAATCATTTGACTCTACATAAACCTAATAAATTAATAATCGATAATTATATGAATGTTACTTATACCCTTCATATTTCTGTGAATGTTATTAATTGAGTGGTGATTTCCATACTTATATGATATATTGGCTTAAAATAATTTCATTTCATACCTATTTTGAATTCTTGATATTGTTAGTGTTAGGGGTTTAAATTTGTTAGCACCTTAGTGGTCTTAGTGATTTTCAATAGTGAACCATATGCAAGTGTTAACACCACTAATAAGTCAAGCTACTAATTCTTTAAAGATCCCTTAAAAGCAAAAAATAGTTGGAAAAAAGAATATTTTTTGCCTAGTTTTCCAAAAAGTAAATGACTTTGGACTACTTAAAAATACAACCATCTTTAAGAAGCATCTATTTTAAATAATGAAGAGTCTTTCAAAATGAAGACGGGGAAGGAGAGCCGGAGAGGGGGATGACAGAGTGATGGGGAGAGGGTGGGGGGGGGGGTTTGTTTCAAGAAAAATTAAAAATAAAATTAAACTTTTTTTTAAAAAAAATAAAGAAAATGAAATTTTGACTTTTACCACTGAAAAAATCACAAAATTATTTTGTACTACCAAAAATTTTAAAAAATTATTTTACCATAAAAATTTAAAAATTGTTTTTTACCACCTGCCGTAAAAAAACTAACGGAATTTTTTAAATTATTTGATTTTCATACCAAACACATCATTTTTAGGGTTTCAGGGGGCATTTTGTTCTTTAGAACCAATTTGAGGTCAGTATTGACAAAAAAGCGATCGAAAATCCTTTCTTTTGCTTGTTTAAAATGGGTTCGCGTGAAACACACCAAACGAGGCATTTACGATAATTTTTTATCAATTCTGACTTCAAATTGGATCCAAAAGACCAAAATGCCCCCCTTAACCTATGAACAACATGTTTTGCACACGAAAATCGAAGATTTTTTCTAAACTGTTACATTTAACAGTTTTCTTGACAGTAGGTGGTAAAAAACAATTTTGAGAAATGTTTTTGGTGGTAAAATAAAACTTTTAAAACTGTTGGTTGTAAAAAAACAATTTTGTTATATTTTTTTTTGTGTGTGGTAAAAGTCAAAAAATCATAAAGAAAATTATAAAAATTAAAATAAGCCATTCTAACCAATTAAATTGCAACACGTGTCACATTTAACCCAACACGTGTCACATTTAATCCAAGTTATCATGTTTTAATTTTATATAAAACAACAACCCTCAAATATGGTTTAGTTTTGAAATAATCGAAAGAATATTTTATTTTTAGAATTGAAATAATCGAAAGAATCTTTTATTTTTAGAAGACCCGGCAAAGATCATTTTATACATAACAATTTTTCCTATTTTTAATACACTTTTAATCATTCAAACCTTACTATAATTTATCAGCTCTATTGGTTTTTTATTCACTTTGATGCGTGCAAAAGATAAATAAAACTTTTATTTAGAGGTGGAGGGAGTAAATTTGAGCTAAAATGTCATTATTTGAGAGATTGGAACTGAATTAAAATTCTATATAAAAAAATAACTAGAACAAGACCTATTTTTTTATTGGGGGAGGGGGGATTATAAGTTAGGAGTCTTGTGCATTGGACATTTTATGTGGGGTTTAAGTAGGAGATGTAGCATTTCACCCCTTTATTTTGGGGAGAAATTGATTTTATTACTCGTTTGTTCTTTTGAATTGAACTAATCTAAATCGATATGTCGTATTAAAAATACTCCGTAAAAAAAAAAAACTTTCTCTCTCTAAAGGTTGAGAGTTTATCTCACTAAGTTGTGAGTTCCCTCGGTCAAAGCTTTTTCTTGCATGCATTTCTATTGGGTGCTCTCCTTTTCCCCTATCAGTGGAGTTTGCTTGCATTCAATTACAAAGGCGCAAACCTTTCCATATCCTTCCTTCGATTTTGTAGATGATTAAAGCCTGATTGGTGATTTCCCCATGATACTCTCCCAATCAGTGAGGTAATTTTTGTCTGCTACTAGCCTTGAGCCCCGAACTCAGGCTAATTAATTTTCTCTCGGACGTGCTAAGAATTTATTACAGTTGTCGGACATGCACAGGAGGGGTGGAACTGAAGAGTTGTGTTTTTGGCTATAAATGCTCTGGCTATTTGGTTGTTTCCAGTATATTCACTCAATCAAATTCTTTCTCTGAGTACTTCTTCCCCTGCTTTATACCTTATTTTTGTTTTCTTCTTTCTGTTATGCTCTGCTAATGGAGAATAACAATCAAGACTCAGTGTTTAGAATGGGGGATTTAATTCCCTCGTCCAACAACTCCCAGTCCCATGATCGAATTAATTACCACTAGTGTGTTATTGGAAGTTTCATTGGTCATAATCCACCATCTGTGGAATATGTTCAACATATGGTTAATTCGAGGTGGGTGAGACGTGGTGTTATTAGGGTTCATAAAATAGGGGTTTATTTTCTTTTCGAGTGTAAGGAGGCCTTGGATCGACAAGGCATCATCAGGGAACACACGGCCAACTTCGATGGGAGGATGATCGTTTTCCGGCGATACCAACCTCTTGATGTTCCGCAACACATTGAATTCTCAATGGCTCAAGTTTGGGTAAGAGTTTATGGCTTACCTTTTCCTTTCTTAACATCTCATTGGGCTCGTCGTATTTTTGAGCGTATAGGTCACATCGATACGCTAGACCAAGTGAGCGATCGGGCTCCGCGATTCTCTGAGTTGCGTGCAAGGTTGATTATCGACCTCTCGCAGCCATTGATACCGGGGTGTTTTATCCTCGTTTCAGAAGAAAAAGTGGTATGGGTATATTTTAGATACGAAGGTATCTTTAAATTTTGTAAGCAATGTGGGCTGGTTGGCCACTCCACGAGAAGGTGTAATTTGACTTCTCAGGTGGCACGGAGAAGGTTGCGGCAGCGAATGGCTGCTAGGGAGCAAAGTGGGCTTCGTATTTTGTAGGAGCCCATGGATCAGCCCTATTACACTAATATGATCCGTGGGCTGCCGGATAGATACATCTTTCGAAACACGGCTGTCAATCTGAGGAGATTGGAGGAGCCGGAAGATTTATATGCTGAAATGCGGCGTCAAAGAGATAACGACTTCACTGGGTCTAAGTTCGACCAATCGTCACCATCAAACGACACGGAGGTCTATTACTCGGGGAATAGCGACCCGGAGGAGGAATCTCACAACCAAGGAGAAGTGGATTTCGCTCCTAACTTATCTCTTCTCCGGGCCGTCATTTTGGTTTGCAGGGGGACCCTTATGCTCGCTTTTACCCACAGCAACAACAGGAGCGAAGCAGGGGCCCTAGAGATGACTGTGAACTAGCCATGACTTGTCTAGGCGGCTGGTTACAAATCACAACAGGAAGCCCACCTCGTTGGAGTCCAACGAATAATCAGCGTGGGTCTTTAATTCCACCGCCGCCTCAACAACGTTTTGCTAACTCCACCTACGAGGTGGGGGAGTCCTCGGGAGCGGCAAATCAACATGGACAACAACAGTCTAGGGGACCGACTATGTTCCAAACTTTGGGGATATCAGAATGGGCGGCTGCACCATTCAATCAGTCAAGTGCGAGAACTCAAACGGGGCTACTCCAAGACGTGCCAAACTCTGATCTATTTTCTCCATCTCCGTCGAGTGTTCCAGCTCCTTTGCAGCTTCTCATAGAGCCTTTACCGCATCCAATGGTAACTAGAATTAATTCCCCAAACTCTAATATTTTACCATATGCAAGAAATATCATTGAAGCAGGTCGAAGACTCGTTCATTCGCTCACAAGCAGCAGGAACACTATGAGAGTGTACCCGGAGCCGCTGCTAGAATGCGATCCTCCCTTTGAGCCCGCTTTCCCTCACATGCCGGAAATGGAATTTGACCCTCCTAATTCTCCAGCTTCGCAAAATCTTAGCCTCAATGATCCGCAAATGCTAAGCTCGACTTATTGTCAGGGTGCTTGGCCGAGAAAGAGAGCTAGGGAGGAGATTCACTATA